GGCATCAGAACTGCCATGTCAGTGGTTCAAACCCACCAGCTGCTCCTGGAGAGACAAAACCTGTCTGCTCTCATTAATCACAGTCTCCAGAAATTCTCTATAGGATCACTTTGAGTCAGATGACAGTGGGTTTTGCTTAGCTCTGTGCAGATTCCTCATGAATCAGGGGCCTGCTCTCAGCTGTTAACAACAAGGTTGTTAGGACCTTTCTGTGAAATCTCAATAAAGAATGCTGCTGCTGGGTGCTACTTCATGGAGCCTGATGAGACTCATAGTGACCCCATGGGAAAGAGCAGAGGCCCCTGGTGGTGCAGGAGGTGATGGAAAGATCAGCAGTTCACACCTACCAGCTGCCCTACGGGGTGAGGCCATCTGTTGCTTCCAGAAGGCTTGCAGCCCTGGTGGCATAGAGGGTTATGCATTTGGCTGCTAACATCATGGTCAGCATTTCAAAACTATCAGCAGCTCAGCGGGTGAGGCTTTCTACTCCCAGCATCTTGGAAACAGGGGCACCTCCACTCTCTCCATGGCTGTGGGCTTGGTTTGGATACTTTTCTATGCATAAGAGACTTCCAATACATTAAAATATCTTTTGATATAAAAAAACAGTAATAATAATTATAATTAATATCTCGATGCGCATTGCAAAGTAGTGCCCATTTGTTATTACAAACCTTTGTAGGCACCTCACACCTTTACAATAGGTTTTCCTGGGTTGGGAAGGTGTCCTGGTGGTGCAGTGGGTTAAGCTGCTCACAGAAAAATGAGCCATTCTGTGGGAAAAAGATGAGGCTGTCTGCTCCAGTAGAGAGTTACAGCCTCGGAAACCCAGAGAGGCAGTTCTACTCTGTTCTAGAGCCACTATAAGCTGGAAGCATACGGATTGGGACTATGCCCAGAGGCTGTGAGAATGGGTGTCACGTGGCACCTGACTATAGTTCCCACAACAAACTGTTTTAAGACAGGAAAGAAATAAATCCCCCACACAGTTGACTTAGAAATGGGGTTTTCCTTCTGGGAAGTTTCAGACATTCCCCAGATGATGCTCACTTCCTGTTCTCCTGGAATTTGGAGAGTCCGGATGCTTCATCGAGAGAAAGACCGGCTTTCTACTCCCGTAAAGAGTTACAGTCTTGGAAACTCCCAGGGGAAGTTCTGGCCTGTCTCTAGGGTCACTGTGTGTTGGCATCGACCAGGGGACAGTGCCTGTGGTTTTGGCTTGAGTGGCTTCGTCAGGAAAGGCAGGCCTGACTCACAGAAGCAGATTCTGGGAAGGAGAACTTCACCACCGTACGAGGGCCCAAGGAAGGCCCAGGCAGCGAGTGAGAGGAGGTCCCCTGTGAGCCTTCAGGCAGGGGCCTACTTCCTTTTTGCACAGTTATAATAGGCTGATTGTTGTCCTCTTGTATCACCAAAAGGTTCACAGATGATGGGGCCACCGAGTAACTGTTCTCATCCACAGAAGACGAGAGTTCATCTTTATTTTTTCATGTCTGTACCAATTTATTGTTCTCACTTAATAAGCATTACTATTACTTAATAAACCCCAAGCCAAACCCACTGCCACTGAGTTGATCCGACTTACAGAGACCCTATGCAGGGTTCCTGAGACCCTCTTTCTCCCGAGGAGCGGCAGGTGGGTTTGATTTGCCCACCCTGTGCTTAATAGCCTACTGCAGAACCCACAGCACTGCCAGGGTTCTAATGCTATATCATAACAATAAACTGACACATCTCGTTCTTCACTGCTCACTGAAAAGTGGCAGTTTGAAGGAGGAAGGCCTAGCAATTGGCTCCTGTAAAGACTAAACCAAATCCAAATTGAGTAGATTCCGACTCACAGTGATCCCATGGGACGCAGTAGATTACTGAGACGGTAAATCTTTCTGGTGGCAGGCAGCCTCATCTTTCTCCTGTCTCCTGCAAAGCAGCTAGTGGGTGTCAACCACTAATTTTTGATTAGCAGCCCAGCACTTAACCTACTGTCCCACCAGGGCTCTTTATAAGATGGCGTGCTATACATTATATGCCAAAACAGATGTTTGACAAACTGATATTGGATGTGAATCATACTGAACTGTTTTGACTTATGTACAAATTTGATTTAAAGTCAGACTTAGGCCTGGCACTTGTTTGTGATTGGGGACTGCTCGTATATGATATGATGTTTGCACATCCAAGTCACATAATGTCTTAGTTCATAAGGCAGTTGTAGTGTGGATGGATATTAAATGATATGTGCTAGGTACCAAAAAATACATATACTGTTTTACCAGCTTTTACATGCACAGCTCAGTGGTATGATCATCGAGCTGGGCAACCGTTACCACTTTTCATGGCCAAGTATTTTCGGCACCCGTAACATAAACCCCACCTCCTGTCGGTCAGTGTGTGGTCCTATGGTGGCTTCTATGATGCTCCGATGCTGGAAGCGGAGTCACTGATAATTCAAATACCAGCAGGGTCATTCAAGGTGAATGAGTTTCAGGAGAACTTCCAGGCTACAATGAGACTAAGAAGAAAGGCCTGCCTACCTACTTCCGAAAATCTGCCAATGAAAACCTTCTACAGGTCCATAGAACGTTGCCCGAGAGAGAGCTGGGAAGCAAGCCCCTCCGTTGGAAGGCACTCAAAAGGCCCACTGTCATGCTCAGGCAGATGGCACGGATTGAGCAGCGTTTTGTCCCGTTGTGTGTGGGGTCATTGTGAGCTGGAGTCCATGTGGCGGCTGCTAACAATAACAACGGTTCACATGCCCACTGCAACACGTGGCCAGTGATGCGGTACTGAACTTGGAGGGTAAAAGAGAGAAATGAGCCCATGGAGGAGAGAGGAAGCAGGAAAAGATGCAATTGGGCAGGTGTTATTTGAGGAGGGCACCTCTCTGGCGAAAGGAAAGGTACTTCAGCAAAACAAGCTGACAGGTAGAAAAGCACAGGGCATCATCAGGAGAGAGAGAGGAAGAAGCAGGGAGGCAAGGGAGGACAAAGGGATGTCTTGTGGATTCATTCTCATGGTGAAACCAGCCCATCTTTTTCGATGAGCTCTGGCAACAACAGAGCCCCAATGAGAACAGAATAAAGCAAAGCTAGTGGCCGTCCAGGCGATCTGACTACCGGCGAGCCCAAGGGTCAGGGTAGAACTGTGCTCTACAGGCTTTTCAAGACTAACTAGGTCACCAGGACTTTCTTCTGAGGTACCTTGGGTGGCAAACACCTAAGGTTAACTATTAATGGCTAACTGTGCACTGCCCAAAGAATCCAGATTCCTAATAAATCAAACCAAACCGAATTAAACGAAAACCTCTTGCTGTGGGATTGATTCTATTACACAAGGATCCACCTGACAGGCTAGAAGGGCTCCATAGGACGTCCAAGGTGTAGTGGGTTAAACACTGGGCTTATGCTAACCTCAAGGATGGCAGCTCAAACCCACCACCTGAGAAAGAGAAGCAGCCTTCTTCTGTAAAGACCTGGAGCCTCAGAAACCCCAGGGAGTTCTTCTCCATCCTATAGGGTCACTATGAGTTGGGATCGACTCATAGTGCAGTGCAGTGGGGAACCTGGGCAGATCTCTAGGTCTTCCCTCCCAGGGAGAGCTGGGTGGGTTTGAACGGTGACATCCCCAGGGTTCCTTAGGATCTTGCTTAAAAACAACAACAAAAACCTCTGCCACTGAGGCAATTCAAACTCATATACAGACCCTCTATAGGGCTCTGAGACTGCTAACCTTTGCGGGGAAAGCCAGCTTCATTTTTCTCCCTCAGAGCGATTGGTGGGTTTGAACCTCTGACCTAATGTTTCCTCCATAGCTGTTGGGGTGAAAACCTTGGCTGCCAGCTGTGCAAGGGCTTGCACCTCAGCCTGGGTCCCTCCTACCTCTGCCACTTCCCCTTCAGCTCTCACAGACAATACCTCTCAAAATGGCTTGCACCTAAAAGAAACCATGTGGCTTCCTCTGCAGTGAACAAAGAGCGGGCCTGAAAAGGAAGTGAGTCCAGGAGAACAGAGGTGGAAGGTAGGTTTTATCTCGCAGGTCCACGCTCCAGTTAACAGACACACTGGGGCAATATTCATGAGGGAATTTCCGTCTTTGCCACCCTGCCTTAAGACAAGGACTCAGGGATGATGAGCATGTGGGTGGGGGTGGGGGTGGTGACAACTCAGAGGGGATGAAGGAGGGAGTGGTGTGGAGTCCCCATCCTGTTCCAACGCTCACTGGGGCTGTGACCTCTGGTAGTCTGAGTCCCAGCTGTTCATTAGTCATAAGAATCTCTACAGCTTTCTGAAAGCGTCCTCGGTGGAGGGTGTCATGGGTTCGACTGCTAACTGTGGTGAGGTCTGAGGTTCAAGCCCACCCAGGATCTCCATGGGAGAAAGAGCTGGGGATTCGCTCCTGTAAGGATGGGAAGCAAACCAACTGCTGTCCAGTCGGAGTCTGAAGCATGGCCACCCTGCCGGCACACAGCAGAACTGCTCCACAGGGTTTGGGGGCTGGGAGGAGGGGGGCCTTGAACTGCTGACCTCGAGGTTGGCAGTTAACTGCGCCACCAGGAAAAGCCCTTCTCTGTCACCTGGTGTCCCCATGAGTCGACATCGACTTGATGGCACCCAATAAGGTCAAAGAATGTATGTTGTCCAGTAGGCAGAGGATGGGATGAGAGAAAGGCTGGCCTGAGGCTGGCTTGGCCAAGGGCCCAAGAAGCAAGCTGGGAAGTGGAGCGAACGCTGTTCAATAGGGGACGTGCCTGTCCTCAACACGCCCAGAAGGACCCCACCTCCCACTGGAGAAGGCGCCCTGTGATTTGTCCATTAAGTCGCTATAAAACAGCAGCGCTGATTACGGTAAGGGAGCAGGAAACGCAACAGCATGCTGGACGCTCACCGCAAAGTTAACAGTGGTTTCCTGTGTGTGTGTGTGTGTGTGTAGGGGGTGGTGGTGGTGGCGGGAATCTCTATTTTCCAATGCCCCCTCCCGCCCCTCAATGGCTTTTTATAAAGATGGGACCTTTTCAACCCGACGCCGGCACAAGGGACAAGTGTTTCCGCCACGAGGTGGTCAGTGACCCCAGCCCTCCTGCCCGAGCTGCCCAGAGCCCCTGTGTGGCCCCGATCCCGGAAGCCGCTTTCACAGGCGCCGGCTACCAGACACCGTGGGGCAATAATCACGAGGGAATTGCCCTCGTGGCCACTCGAAGCCCCGCCAGCCCGCCCCGCCGCCCGAGGTCGCCCCGGACTGAACGAAGCCACTCGAGGTGGCCCTGCCGAGGGACTGAGCCACCCGCTGTCCGAGGTCGCTGGGCCGAACGGAGGCCCCGCCATCTGCTGTCACAGCTCTGCGCCCGCGAGCCCCCACTGACTTGGGGATCCATCACCCCGCCGTCAGCAGCCACCCCTGACTGAAGCGGACTGGCCGCCCGCGGTCATCTCCCTGACAGAGCTACCGCCGCCGCCGCCCGAGGTCACCCCTCTGACTGAAGCAGCCATCAACGCCCAGCCCAGGTCGCCCCTCGGATCGAAAGCGCCACCCAGCCTCCCGCGATCCCTTTTCCCACAGGACCCACCTGGCCGCCGCGCCTCTCGCCGCCGCGCGCTTCGCAGTGGACACGCCCCGCGGAGGGACTCGGCGGAGCACACGCCCCACCCCGGCCTCACCCGAGAACGACGGATCTACTTCTCTTAAAGGGCCAGGCTTCTCCAGGAAGCGAGGGCCGCCCACCTCGCCGGGCTCTCTCGCGGTTGGATACGCGCGAGAGTCAAAAGGGATGGCGACCGCGTGTGTGGCGGCTTTCAAAGATAGCGGGGAGCAACCCTCATCTCTTGACAGGCCACGCTTCTGTGTTGCCTAGCAACCGCTGGCCGGCCTCTGACGCCATTGGCTGCCGCCTGTGGTCCGAGTGACCGAGGCGTTAGGCGGGTCTTGAAGCTAAGTAGCCGCCCCGGAGACAGGAACTGGAGGGCGGGGCCTGAGCGCACGGGGCGGGGCCTCCCGGTGCGAGCGGCTGTGGGCGGGACCTAGCTCTACGGTCGGCGCCGTCAGTTGCCAGGAGGCGGGGCCGTCCGTTGGCCTGGGGGCGTGCCTAGGCC